ATGGCCCGGGCCGAAGGCAGTCGCCCAACCAACTGAGCCAGTTAATTATATTAAAGTGTTATGTTATTATTCTGGATTTTATAATGTTTGTGTTATTTGTCACCTTTTTAGAAAATAAACTATTTTTTTAAATTTTCTTCATTCTAAATACTTTGATAGCTAATTTTGTCTTTTTTTTTAGTTATAAGAGTTATATAAGCTTCAGAGTGCGCAAAATCTGGATCAGCCCTTAATCAAGTGGCCTCTGCTAATGAGCTGGGTTGAATGAGACAGGTATGGCCTGACGCCTACCATTATTTGCAAGTAGCTAAATATGCATGAATACATAATTTTTCAAGCGTTAGTTAAAACTGCAAGTGACTGGGCTGTCCTTCAGTCTATACATGTGTCTTGGAGGGAGATTTTATTAAAGGCATATAAGAAGATATCTGTAACAGATACTGCTAGCCTCTATCCAAACCCATAAATATAAGATTTAAGCTTAATTTATGTGACATAGATCTGTGTCCCATTCTGGTGCTTTAAAATGATTTTTTTTAAAAAACTGTGCTTTCTTATATCCTATGTATTCTTCCTCTCAAGTATATGTGTATTAAAAATGTGAAGACTGAAGCTGCTCAAAAGTATAGAATACAGACTCCTAGAATTTGCTCTGAACAATGGATACAAAAGGCAAAATTAAGCAATCTCTTTCTTTTGTGAAAACCGAGGTGGTGAGTGTACAGTACTTTGAAGAGGGGCAGGCTGCGGCAGCCTGTCAGGATTTCTCTGGTGCTTTCCCAAAGATCAGGGACATCAGGGAGAACAGACACACTGATGAGTCACTGAAGCCTAACAGCTTCAACCTGTGATAATGGACAGACTTTTGGGGGCTGAAGCCATCAGCCACTTCTCAGGCGAGGCCTTTGACCTACCTCATGATTGCTCCCCACTTCACCTCCAAGACGAAATGGTACTGCAGTTAATTCACAGCCACAGAAACCACACCAGTCACAACGGTCTCACCTAATGGCATTAACTAACATCCAAACTAAACAAACTTGTGAGATTGAAATTGGTGGGCATTCCTGACTAACACAAAAGTACCAAAGTTGAAGTGTCCATTAATCACACCTACTGGGTTACCCCTCTTCCATAGCACGGAGGCGAGGAGTCGACAGCTTTTAGTTCCTGTGAGGTTTTACTGGAACACGCTCATTAGTTTTCACATTGCCTAAGACTGCTTCACACCACAAAGCAGAATGGAGTAGTTTCCACAGACTGGCAAAGCCTCAAAGATTTACTATCTGCCTTTTACAGGTGAAGTATGCCAACCCCTGGACTAGAGGGATTGGGCTGTGAGGCTACTACCTTAATGAGGAAGGGGCAGAATTTGCTACTGAGAAGTGTGAAGTCATGGACACCCTGTCCAGCACTCCTTTTTCTTCCTGAGACCATAGACCAGTCTCTAGGAAAGAAATGAAGTGGAACAGACTATTGGAAAATTATGCTTTTCATAATGGAAAAAAAATCTTTAGAAAAGAAAGAAAAGGCAAATATTAATTTTTTGCATACCAGCTAGTGCTCTTTGCTGTAAGATTTTTCTAGGGCCCAACCGCTGTTCACTGTTCAGGGTAGACTACTCTACTATCTCCAAACAAACAGAAAAGAGAGATCAATGGTTTCCTGATCTGGAGATGGAAAAATGTTTTCTAAGCATAAAACCAAAGGCAAAAACCAATAGAGAAAAAAAATGACATCCTTTAGCGAAATACTGAGTAGAAATTTTTATAAATTATTGATACATATCCATCCAACACATAATTTCATCTCCTTAAACCACCTGCAAGGACAACAGAGAAGGTATTAGATAAAAATGTTGAGCATAATTTGGGTCTGAGGCAGTTCCCAGAGAAGTCTCCGTATACTAATCAAAAACCACTTTTCAAGACAGGAGCCCAGAATATCAAGATGAGGGAAGTGGCGGTCCTGGTAAAGGAGGAGGAAATCAGCTGGGGCTGGAGGTCTGGGCTTCTGGCCATTACTTGTCACATCACAGCGACACCCACAGGAGAGCCATTTCATGGACCACTTTCCACTGGAATTGTGTGTAGGGCTCATTGGCCAGTGAGAGCATAGCCGCTCTGATTCTGTGCAGAGAATCTCACTTCAGTGCAGTGGTTCTGAACCATCCTCTCTACCCTTTGTGCAGCCCTTTGTGATCTGGATAAGAAGAGGCAGGAAGAAGGAAAAATAATAAAACCAGTTTAAGAAGCCATATATCTCTCATTTTATTATCTGTTAAACTCTAACAGATAAGCGGTTAAAACTATATTTTATGAAGGAAACTTTAAAACCTTAATTAGGTCTTCAAAACCCAATCCTGAGGCAGCAATCATATAGTAAAATTAGTAGAACTGATTTAATTTTTAAATTAGTTTCTTCACGTTATAAAACACCATAAACAGAAATAAAAAGCAAAGGACAAACTGGGATTATATTTGAAACATAAATAAGAGAGAAAAGATGAAAGTCCTTAACATATAAAGGCCTTCTGCAAAGCAATGGAAAGTAGAGATAGCCCTGAAAGAGATAAAGATCATGAGTGATCAGTTTGTGAAAGGACAAATGGCTAACAAACAAGTTAAAAATTCAGTCTCAACAGCTAACAAGGAAATACAAATTAAAATAAAATATTCAGGCCCTATAAAATCAGAAGGTAATTTTTAATTGAAAATATAAAACATTTTTTATGGTGAAGGTTAAAGGGAATAGATATTTTCAGATGCTTAGGGACTGGGTATAAATTGACACAAACTCTCTGGGGGCAATTTGGCACATATGGTATATCAGTAGGTGTCCAGTCAGGCATCTTAGGTGGAGGAAATCTAACACAGAAGTTGGTTAGAAAATTGTTAGCAGAGCTGGAAGAACCAAAGGGGGAAGATGATGGTACCTAGAGGTAATACTTAATTGCAGGAAGCTAACTCTCCCTCATGGCCTGGAGAAGCAAAAGGGAGAGGGTAGGTATTACCCAGAGTCCACAAGCACCACCAACAACCCCGAGCAGAAAGCTGACATCCTGTTGGTGTTTCTGGGCTTGCTCCTGGAGACTGCGATCACTTGTAGTTGGCTCTCATGACTGCTGATGGAGCCAGACGCAAAAAAAAAAAAAAAAAAAAAAAGGCTTCTACCCAGCGGGCAAAGGAATCTGGGAAATGTAGTCTGCAGGCCCCGACGCCCCTGTACAGAGGAGAGTATAAAACATAAAACTCCAGAGCATGCATCAATGACATAAAAATGTTTACACTGTCTCACAACAATTTGTAGCAAAACACAATAAGTAGCAACAATAAGTAGCAAAACACAAAAAGATTTAGGTACAAGGCCTTTTGTAATGATGTCACACTGAGTAATACTTGCCATGTCTTGTTCTTTTTCCCCTCCGGCTCCTTTGTGATTGGGTGGGGCCTTGCAAATAGATTTGACCTATGAGTTCAGAAGTGGCATGTGTCACTTTCAGGATGCATTTAATTGCCAACATGAATCTCTCCAGAGTTATCTTTTCCTTCTGGAACAGTGACCAACGACATTCAAGATGATGTTTCTCTGTTAGCCTTGGTGTCTACGTGACTATGATGCGCAGAGATCCCTTGCTAACCCCATACGTGAGTGAAAAATAAATCTCTGTTATTTTAAGCCACCAAGATTTAAGAGTTGTTTGTTTTAACAACATAGGCTAGACAAATCTGGCTTGCACACATTGAATGACTTGCGAAAGCAGAGAATTACAAACAAGCAATGTGTTCAATGATATGGGAAAGTGAAATACATTGCTATATATGCATATTATGGAATATGCTGTTGCCAGTGAAAAACGTTTTTGAAGAATATAGAATGAGATGAGGAAATCTTCACCATAGAAAATTAAATGGAAAAAATAGGACATAAAACAGTATCTATTAAATGGGATTCATACATTTGATTATATATTAAGTGTTTTGGGCCACAAGCGCTCCATGGTCATAGTTATCATGTGATCAGAAACATGTTAATGTCATAGTAATGGGCTCAGTTGATGAGTCACCCCTGATCTGGACACATGTTTTGCATTTTGATCAGTGGCTTGTGTTGTTCCTGTGGCCAGGGCATCACTTGGGGGCATGACCAGCCAGGGCCTCCCCTGGACTTCCCTCTTGCTCTTGGGCTTTGAGTTAAATGATGCTTCAGAACCCACTGAGCACCCACCCAGTGGAAACTGTGAGGTTGCCTGCTCCAGGCAGTGGTGTGGGAAATGCCAGTGACTCGCTCCTACACTGTGGCTTGCCCTGAGGAAAGTGACTTATGCTGCAGATGCCACAGTTGCTCTCTTGGATCTACCCTCCCCAGCAGCTGATGGAAGGACAAGGAGGTACAACCTGGAAGCGTGGGGGGTAACGCCCTGCAGAGCAAACTTTGATCCATTGGAAATAGAAGCCAGAGGATAATTCTTCCCCCCGCCCCGCCGCCCCCAGAACCAAGATGTAATAGCTTTATACCATCTCTCTGCAGACATCCTGCAAGAACAAGAAATCGATGGCACTTATAATCAAGCCGTGGCCAGCATCATAACCGGCTCTTTGCTATTTGCTCTGCTTCTTCCTTTGCCTCCTGCTTCATGGGATTGCGCTTCCCAATAAAGCATTTTAAGGTTTAGCCTCAGGTACTGATTTCTAGAAAATTGGCCCAAGGCAGTTATTTACACATCCCTAGACATCTTGTGGTTCAAGTCTAAGAATGAGGCTTCTACAATAGTTGACTTGTGCCTGTCTCCATCTACCTCTTAGCAGCACGTAGTAATGTGTCCCTCCAACATCACACTTGACCTCTTCCAGGAAGAGACAGGTGAGCGTAACACAGAGACGGAACCTACAATTTAGTTTTAGTGCCATAGTAGCTTCAATCTTGGCAGAGCTATAAGGATGTTAGATACTTAATTGTTTGAGAAACACAAAGGAAAGAACACAGCAACATTCCATTTCCCAAGAGATGATAACAGATATGTGGCTTGCCAACGTAAGCAGGTATAGCTTTTCTAATGCTTTGGTATGAGAAGGTTTTAAGCACAGTGTGTTGCAACTATCATAGAAAATTTATTTCTTCTTTCTTCCTATATGTGATCTAACTTTCTGTTGTCCGATTCACCTACTTGTCCTGGAGGACCTAGACCAGGACTTCTGTGATTGACTTCTGACCCATACAAGTCTGGAAGAACCTAGAAATAGCTGTCAGCCAAGTCTCCTTGGCACAGAGGTATGCTTTGGTCCCCTTGGGCCCCTGGCTGCCTACCTTGAACTTTAAAACTTCAGATTGTGCATTGGCCTTAGTCTGCTATGAGCTTGAGCCTTTCTGTGGTTGAAGAGCCAGGCTCCTGGCTTTTTATGACTCCTGACATTGGGGTGTCCTATTACCTGTGAATCATCTTGCTTGTTGACTCTTGGTCTGCTTTCACTTCCTGACATCTGAGCTTATGTTGGTACCTCTCACCCTGCAGGCACTGACCCCTGGCATATGGCAGATATTCCTGGCCCTAAGTTTTGGCCTTGACTAGTAACCCCTAACATCCCATGTCTTGTAGCATAAACGTTGGTCACTCATTTTTAAAGACTCCACAACTTTTCCTTGTTCACACTAAATTGTACTAAGTATTTACCAATGTCTCATACTTGATGAAACCAGAAGCCAACAAGAGTTATTTAAAATGTGATCATGAAAGCTAAAAGAGGGCTCTGTCATGAGAATAAATTCTCTTTATAGAAATATCAATACTCTTTTACTGAACACCGACTTTGTGCCAGTACTAGGGTAGGAGTTTTACAACCATTATCTCCTTAAATCATCACAATAAAGCTATAAGGTTCGTTACCCTTATTGCCATTTTATAAAAAGGGAAGCATATCCCTTCCATTGCATTACTCCATTGCATGTAGTCCAATCATGGACCAATACCTTGAATCCTCTCATCAATCCTCTTATCTTTTTCATAACAAAAATAATAGGTATTAATTTTAATGTGGTCTCAATATCTTGAATTTCTATTATTCTATTACTGGTCATCTTCCAAGCCAAGCAAAGTCCTGAGGTCTATAATAACCCAAAAGTATAATCTAGCACCATGTATGAATATTGAAAATGGCCATTCCTTTTCATCTCAAAATTTCACTTCTAAAAAATATAATAAATCCCCCTAGTAGATAAACGTGTATAAGAATGTTCACCACAATGCAGTTTATAGTATCGAAAAGCTGGGGACAATTTGACTAATCATCCATCAGCAGGAGATTCATTAACTCAATTAAGGCACCTTCATATAATATATATATGATAAATCTATTTAAAAGGAGAAAGGTAGATCTATATGAACTAACATGAAACATGTCCAAGATACAGTGTTGAATGAAAAAGGATAAGATTACAGATTCCATTCAGGCAAAAAAGAATATTTATAAATTACACAATTTGTAAGTTTATAATATATAACATATATTTATATGATGTCTGAAATGCTAAGTTACCAATATTAGTGATTTTTCTGTGGCATAAGATCAGTAATGGCGGCAGCCATAGAAGTGATAGAATGCTTTCACTTCCTATTTTATATGCAATTGTATTTTTTACATTTTAGAAGCATGTATAACCTTTATAAGAAAAAACACTTCCATTTTGAAATTAAAATTTCCATGGAAGGCAAAGATTTGATTTAATTATTTTTTACCTTAGGGAACAGAGATTTACTGTCTTCATGAAAAGCCTTGTCCTTGTATGAAAGGTGCAAAAATCCCTTATTATTAGTCTTTGCTTGTCCATTGCCAACATGGTGCTATATGAATTTAATCTTTTTTACACAAGTAAATAATAATTCCAGCATATTATAAATTACCTAATCATTTTTTACTTTCTTCTGTCTTATTACATAATTTTGTTAAACAGAATGATGTGTGTTTGAAAACCATATTGTGATATTTATATTACATAAATAGAGAAAGATATTGAATTCTATGGATTATCTCACATTGACACATTTAGATCAGATGCTAGTGTTTAGTGCTTGCTTATTTCTGAGAGATTTTTAAAAATCTTTCTTGTATTTTGAGATAATGGATTCCTCATTCCTCATATACTCCTATATGGACTTGCTAAGTAAGGAAGGAACAATTTTGGAAAAATTTAATTGGGGGAAAAAATGCATACCTCATGAATTCAGTTTTTTTACCCAACTTGTAATGACTCAAAGTTTTCCTAAGAGTCAGTAATTGGATTTAATTGACATCTGAGTCCCAAGTTTATACAAGAAACTAAATTATCTAGACTTTGGGTTATCAACCTCATAAATTATTTTTAGTATTTCTAGGCTCAACTTCCAGTCTTGTTTAAGGGAAACCTCTACATTCTTAGATATAAACCTCTCACTATAAAAATAGTGGAGTGGTATTATTATTATTGTTGCATATATTTGCTTAATACCTTACATTTACTATATGCATTCATAGGTACACACAAATTCAAAACTCACAGAAACCCAATGTTACAAAGGAGACATCCATACTGACCATCAGTACCAAGGAAATTCACAAGGCAGCCCCCCTCTACATGGCCTAGAAGACAAGGTTGAGGTGAAATGGCTGTATATAGATCTTCAGAAAATAGTCTAAAATAAATGGATTTCTCATCCAGTGTCTATATACTTGAAATTCCTTTGGAAAAATAATAAGCAATGGAAAATAACTCCTATTTAAAATACTGATCAAAGCAAGAAAGTATGAACCAAAGATGTTTTATCAGTCCCAACTCTCCCTTGAGTATGGAGGCTAAGAATAAAAGAATATTGTACCCATGCACACTTCTTTAGCAACTTACTAGAGGACAAGCTTCACCCAACTGCAGGATGACTGGAGAAATACTGGCAAAGGGTCAGGTTGGAGAGGGGGGGATTAAAAATCGTTAGAAATAGGACTCAAACAAATTTGAAAATAAGGGTAGAAAAATAATATGCAAATATTATGCATTCTGATATTATATCACTGGCACATTTAACAAAATATGGGAGGATAGGGTGCCTGGGTGGCTCAGTCTTTAAGCGTCTGCCTTCGGCTCAGGTCAGGATCCCAGGGTCCTGGGATCGAGCCCCACATCGGGCTCCCTGCTCAGCGGGGAGCCTGCTTCTCCCTCTCCCACTCCCCCTGCTTGTGTTCCCTCTCTCGCTGTGTCTCTCCCTGTAAAATAAATAAATAAAATCTTAAAAAAAAATAATATGGGAGGAAAAGGGAGAGAAAACAGATCAGAGACCAAGGTGTAAAAGCTAAAACAATAGAGCATTTAGAAGACAGCATATGAAAATATCTCAGTAACTTGGAGTGCACAAAAGCTTCCCAGACAGGTCGCTGGGAGCAGTAACTATACAATTCTTGAAATAAAAAGTTAAATGTCGTTAAACCAAAAACATGTCCTTATCAAAAGATACTGTTATGAAAATGAATAAGCAATAAGCCACAGATAGAAGAAAATATTCACAAAATATATATCTGACAAATAACTGGTATCCAGCACATTAGAACAAATAAACCTACAGTTCAATAACAAAAAGGCAAACAACCCAATTGTAAGATGGGCAAAATATTTTAATACATGTTCATAAAACAAAATATACAAATGGCCTGTAAACAAATGAAGTGCTCGATGTTATTAGTCATCAAGGAACTGAAAGTTAAAACCACAATAAGATACCAGTATATATTCACCAGAATGGCTAAAATTTAAAAAGATTAACAACAGCAAATACTGGTGAAGATGTGAGGAAAATAGCATTCTTGGTGTGGATATAAACTGGTTGGGAAATATTCCCCAGTTTCTCATAAAGTAACATACACCTATGTCATACTATATGACCCAGTAATTCTACTTGTAGGTATCAACCAAAGATAAATTTAAAAAGCTAACAAAAACACTTGTACAAAAATGTTCATCGAAGTTTGGGGTGCCTGGGTAGCTCAGCTGGTTAAGTGGCTGCCTTTGGTTCAGGTCGTGATGCCATGTCCTGGAATCGAGCCCTACATTGGGCTCCCTGCTCAGTGGAGAGTCTGTTTCTCCCTCTCCTCGCTCTCTCTCTGCCCCCCCTTCTCATGCTCTCTCTCTCTCTCAAATAAATAAATAAAATCATTTTAAAAAATGTTCATAGAAGCTTTCCTCATAATAGCCCCAAAATGGAAAAAAAGTGTGCATTAATAAGAGAACATACAAAACACCATATGTTCTTACAATAAAATACTTTTTTTTTAAAGATTTTATTTATTTATTTGAGAGAGAGAGAGAATGAGAGACAGAGAGCACGAGAGGGAAGAGGGTCAGAGGGAGAAGCAGACCCCCCGCTGAGCAGGGAGCCCGATGTGGGACTCGATTCCGGGACTCCAAGACCATGACCTGAACTGAAGGCAGTCGCTTAACCAACTGAGCCACCCAGGCGCCCTACAATAAAATACTTCTGAGCAGTAAATAGGACTCAATCACCTGAGCAAATCTCAAAGGCATTAATGCTGAGTGAAAGAAGCCTTACCCAAAAGAGTACATACTGTCTGAGTCTATTTCTGTGACGTTCTAAAACAGGTAAAACTAATTTATGGTAGAAAAAAAAAAGCAGAAGTTTGCCTCTGATTGATGAGTGGGGATTAACTTGAAAGGAGCACTAGGGAATGTTTTGGGGGCAATGGCAATGTTCTATATCTTGTTGGGGGGGGTCAGGTTACACAGATGTATGCAATTTTCAAAACTAGCAAAGATATACATAAGATTTAGGTGCCGTACCACATGCACATTTTACACCAAAAGGAAAATACCTTAAACAAATATTTAAACCCTATTAGTGATATGTAGGCTGAGGGATTTAAGGGTCAATGTACTAATTTACTTTGAAGGGCATAAAAGAATGAGATGGATTGACAGATGGACAGAAGGATGGATGGATGGACACATACTGATAAAGTAAATATAGTAAAATGTTAATGATAGCAGCTGGCCAGTGGGTATATTGGTGTCCACTGTAAAAATTCTTTCAACTTCAATGTCAGTTTGGAAATTTTCATAATAAAATGTTGGAAGAAAAAAGAGGACAGAGAATGTGCTAAGTAGAATGTTCACTGCATCTGGAGCAGTTGGAGGAAGTCATAGAATATCATTTAATGCTGACACACTGAATTGTAGAAGCCTAAGACTATAAAGGTAAACACTAAGAAAGATAATATTATTTTTTTAAAGATTTTATTTATTTATCTGAGAGAGAGAGAATGAGAGAGAGCATGAGAGGGAAGAGGGTCAGAGGGAGAAGCAGACTCCCTGCTGAGCAGGGAGCGGATGCGGGACTCGATCCCGGGACCCCGAGATCATTACCTGAGCCGAAGGCAGATGCTTTTTTTTTTTTTTTAAGATTTTATTTATTTATTTGAGAGAGAGAGCATGAAAAAGGGGAGGTCAGAGGGAGAAGCAGACTCCTCGCTGAGCAGGGAGCCCGATGCGGAACTCGATCCCGGGACTCCAGGATCATGACCTGAGCCGAAGGCAGTCGCTTAACTGATTGAGCCACCCAGGCGCTCGAAAGATAATATTATTGACTAAAATTGGAAAGCGGATGGGAGATGAGAGAAGAAAGAGGATGCCAGCTAATTTTAGTGAGCTCAGAGCATGAAGCCAGTGCACATTAACTAAAAAGAGATGGCTTTACTAGTATTTATAATATGTATACAATGAAAGAAATCAGATCAAACACAGAGGTTATATCAATAAATGCAAATGGGCTCAACCTGAGATTGAAAACAGACTTTAACTCTGGGCTCCGTACAAGAGACTTGCCTAAAACAGAGCAATCCAGAAAGGTCGAAAATAAAATGTTCGCCAAATCGTGCCAGTCAAAAGCAAACAAACAAAAAGAAAGCAGGGGTCGAGGCTTTGATAACAGGCAAGACAAAATGCAAGCTAAAAAGTTTCAGGCAAGACAAAGAAGGTATTAGATAACCATGCTTTTCAGTTAGTAGCAGCTGATAATAATAGTTACCGAGCATTTGAAGTGTGGGTAATGTGACCGAAAACCTGAATTTTTTTATTTTAATTAATTAATTAATTAATTAATTAAAATAGTGCAAAAACACTGTCCATCATCACAAAAGTTCTATTGGATACCACAGAAAGTGATTGGATGTCATAGAATGTGCTTTGGATTGTGCTGCTTTATAATGTTCAAGACTCCAAGATGTGACCATCATAAACATCTACACACCAAATTATACAGCATCTACTTTCCTAAAGCAGAAAAGATGGAAAGATGCAAACCCGCTATAACAGACTTTAACATCAAATTTCTCCATACAAGACCAAACAAGTGAAAATACCCAGTGCTTAAACATTGAAGTTGAAAAATAGAAGTTGTAGGAAGATTTGGTGGGCTGATTATTCTTGAAGCCCTCCAAATATCTCAAAACTCTCCTCTCACAAGATTTATATTTGCAGCCCTTGATGGTATTTGGTGATGGTACTCGATAAATTGCCAGTTTCTTTAACGACTATACATTGCCATACAAGAAGTTATGGGCATATATGTAACTTCCCAGAAAGTCTATTTGCATCATAAGTTTACTAACATTCAGAGTTGAGCTGAGAATACAATTAATGGGCATTTCTGAAGTGCTCTGAATTTTTAGGAAGAAAGTCATTGCGTAAGCATTTCTATTTTGGCCCTCTTATAGAGTACATGGGTCCCCAAGGAAAAGCCATCTTTGTCTCGTTCAACTATTCACCCCAATTAAATCCCTCAACACCCAGGTCCACTTGAAGGATAATGCTCCTGACTCAGCTGACATTTCCTCTGATAATAAGCTATTTGCAAAAACAATTCTTGAGACTTCCTGTCTTACGCCTACAGCCTGATGACCTGTAGAATAACCCGAATTTTTGCCACGTTAGTCTAGGGGGCCAGGCAGAAGAAGAGAGACTTATATTGGTCTTTTCTTTAAAGACCCATTAATGACCCACTCACTTTGGCTTCCCAACAAGTGTAAGAATAAGTGTATGACAGAATGGTTCATCAGGGAAATAGGTATAGAATGAGATGAAACCTCAACAAAGGCACAAAAGATGCCTCTACTTTCTTTTTTTTTTTTACTTCCTTTTTTGGAAGGACAATATTTATGAGGGACAAATATATGCTCTGAGACCATAAAATGGTTTTCTTCAACAATAGGTATTATAGTAACACAATGCTGTGTGCACTTATTCCAACCGTCTTTAGAGCTGCAGGGGGGTCCAGGATTGCTTTAGGAGAAGGCTTCTCTCAACCTTATAATTAACTTGTCTTGGGGTCAGAAATTAAGGTCCTTTTTTCCCAGGGATTTGACAAGGTATTTTGATGGGTCTGCTCATTAGGTATTGCCAGTGGCCTGTATAGGAAGAGTCTGACCGTCAGAAGACCTGGTCAAGTATGTGCATGGAATAGCTTGTGTTGCAGATGCTGTTTTTTCTCATTCCAACTTACTTATTAGCATCTTTCCTTCTAAACCTTGTATCTTATTGTTGATCACAGGACAGTATAAAAACAAGAGCAATCAGGGCTGAAGCAGAGGACACTGAAAACGTCCCCAAGGCCTAGAAGTGCTTGCCTAGCTTGAAGATCCATTGGATGGCTTGTCTCTCCTTTTCTCCAGAAGCAGCATGTTGCCACCAGTTACCTGCATGTGACCCGTGTGGTTTGTCTCAGCCTGAAGATGGTCAATTCTTAGATCTTGATCAGCCCATTTCAGCCGTGGTTGATGATGATAAGGTTGCTTTTGCTGGGTGAGAAATAGGAAAATGCACTATCTGCTCTGAGGTGCTTTCATGATGAGCAGTGTATTTGTTAACACCCAAAGCACCATATCATCTGATCATCTTCTTGTGGCTTATGTTGCGAGAAGATCATACTCAGCCAACCTTTGACATGATGTGAAATTCCCAAAGAAATGAGCCTCGGGGGCCTTGGAGGGCAAATATGCCATCTAATAAAGTGACCACATCAGTTAAGGTAGTGTGAACCCTCAGACCCCGTTGGGGAATCCTGTAGACAACATCTGGCACTCAGGAGTTGTAACAATTCTGCAATAAGGCAGCCTGTGTGGAGGGTTTTCTGTTTACACTGGAAGATGTTGATGGAGGACTGTTTCACCAGGGAGACTGAAGCTATTTTGCTTAAAGAAACAAAGCAAAGCCAAAAGTTACTTTGTTGTCCAACTCTGACATCAGTGGTTAAACAGACTTTATGCTGGTGAGGTAGGCTTCAAATGAAAATCAAGTACAACTTTAGGCTAAAGGGAACCTTGTATGCCCAGTCTGAAGGCTGAGTTAACCTTGATAATGGTGGTTGGCTGATTCGACTGGGGGGAAGCCCTGTTTGGATTCACTGGGTTTGTGCCCATGGGCGTTGGGTTTTATTCCTTCTCTCAGAGGGGCGACTTCACTGACCTCACTAAGGAAGCATCAACAAAGTTCTCACCATGCCCAAGAATTGGAGGATTCCCTTTTACAGCTCTGAACTAGAGAAGTCCAGTCTTCCAGAGTATATGTGTCATATCTTCTTTTCTGTCAGCCTTGAGTGTAGCATGGAATGTGCTCAGTATGTTGTATCCTGGAATCCAGGGTATGATCCAAGGGCAGGCACCTTTGACCCAGAGTTGCAGAACGTGGAATTGGACAATATATAGTAGAGGTCTCCAAATCAGAGCCCACACATATGGCCCAAAATTCACCTTCCAGTTCAAGTGGCTAGACAGAGAAACCCAGACCATCAGTTTTTTTGTTCATTCATTCGAGAAATGGCATGACTCTCATTGATGGTCAAATACATGCTGGGCACTGTTCAAGAAGTTGGAGATCTATGAACAACAGAAAATACTCCTTTGGGAGTCTTGTATTTGGTAGAAAGGAGACAATGGCGAAGGACTATAGACTATAGAAAGCAAGCTGTAAGATGGTCCAGAGTCAGGACAGGAACTTACCACAGGTTAACATAGCAGCTTGCAGGGGCATGATGGGTTTATGTATGGTGCTGAGGCTGGGTTGCAAAGCCAGTCAATCAAAAACTATCTCTGTTTCTATTCTATGGAAAATGGGTATAATGATATAATGAAAGAATGCTTTGAATTCCATGGGTGAAAAATGATCCCTGATGTGAAGGCAAAGTTGTTCTCATTCCAGCATGAAAGTTCTCTGGGTTTTTTGATCTTGTCACAATTTGAAACCTATGTGCCCCAGTAGGATATGCCCCTGGGCTCCAATCAGGGGACCGAAGTTCTGGTCTAGCTCTGCCATCAGGAGATGTGTCACCTTAGACAAGGTACTTAATCTCTTGGAATCCTAGTCTCTTGACCTGTGAAAAGATTGAGTTGGACCAAGATATCTGTAAGCTCAGTTGTTTTCATCTCCCATATAATTCAAAGAAATATCATCCCCTAAACCACTCTTACCAATATAAATGCTGACCGTGATTAGGAAAATCCTCTTGCTTAGCTTATGGCCTGAACTAATTTTTGTTCATTTAATGCAACAATCTTATTGTTATTTCATTGACTAAAAGTGTGTATTTTTCCTACTTCTCACTTGTTTCCTGTGTATCTAATTTGCAGTTTCAAGATCTCTCTCAACAGTTTTGCCATCATTTTAGCTTTTTCATTTAGCTTTGCTTTTAGCTTATGAGCTTTCCCTTTTTGTTTTCTTACTCCAGATCAATGTTCTTGATGTTGCATATACTATGTGGTCCCAGCATGTTAATAATATATAGTAGCTAACATTTATCAAGTTCTTACTGTAAGCCAGGCACAAAATGTCCATGTGATCATCATGATCATCAGAGTGACTCTAAAGGATATACTATTATCATCTTTATCATATAAGAGGAGAAATAGTTGGCTTGAGGGGTAAGATTTACACAACTAGGGAGAAGTCCCATTGGGATTGTCTGATTCTGGGCCTCAAGCTGTGTTCCAAACTGACTCAATTGGTATCTAAGTTGGGGGAGGAGGGAGAGACACAGAGAGAGAGACAGAGACAGAGAGGAAGGAAAGAAGGAAAAGGAAAGGAAAAAAATAAATTCAGGGAAAAAATGCAAAATGCTTATGATATTTTTAAAATTCTAAATAAAAATAACTTTATTTTGTCCCATTGAAAATGTATAATATTATAATTTTACAATGTAGATTATCTGCTTTATGGAAAACTACAGCACCAAGGAGAAAAATAATGCTGCTTATTTTAGCCATTACAATGTTATTATCTGGGTCTATTTAGGAAGTAGTAAAATGGAGGCAACATTCCAATCTTTAACTCTGAAATTAGATCCTGGGCCCGATGGCAATGGTAAGGCAGGCAGCATGTGGCTGGCCCAAGGTCAAAGAGTGCACCAAGACAAACCCAAAGGCTCATGCCCCAAGAGAGACAAAAACAGACTCACAAATTCCATAATACTAAATGGCGACTTTTTCTGAGCATCTGAATAGCCCATTCTATTTTCAAGTAAGATCAACTTGGAAAGCTGAGTCTAGGACAATTAAGGGCCAATAATATTCTTGACTGGAAAGCCTGCCCTCATCAACAATTGCATGCCTACGATGCTCTCTGGCTTACCTAAATTCATGACCTAAATTTTGGGAAAGCTATGATGTCTCGCTAAAGCTTCAGCTTTGCTCTACAGCTCTGGTACCCACCGGAGTTGCAGGCAGAGGCCCCCTGCGGAGGCGTGTCTCTTCTCCCGGGGCCGGGCCTTTGCACTAGCACAGCTGTTGTCGAGAGGCCTTCACACTCCATCACGTCTCCTGACAACCCGCAACCTGCTAGGTCATGGGCTGAATGCTTCACTAAGGTTATTTATGAGTCGCTGTAACTTCAGAGTTTTTTGTTTCAGGCAAAGATCAGAAGTACAAAAATAGATTCATTTAATCAGAGAGAACTCGAAAATAATTATCCTGTACTCGTAAATTATTAATCTCTGTAAATCAGCCATAACTCCTCATGACCTTCTAAAAAATTATTTTTTGAATTTTGTTCACTATCGAGCACCTTATTTCCCGCTCCCCCCTCCAGACTATCCATGCGGTAACAAGGGAGCAGAGAACCCTATGTGAACAAATACACTGATGTTCCGCAACAGCTTATGAACCATGCAAATCTAGTAGACATGGGTCTGCATCTCATTTTTTGAAGACGTGCTTGCTTGAAAGCAGAGAGGAATATTTTTCAATCCAAGCTATAAGGTTACTCTAACATCTAGCTTTTTTGTTCACCCTCTGAACCATTTTTAAGTGTCCAGTGAAGTCATGTGAACTACATACACGTCGTTCAACAAGTCTCTAGAACTTTTTCACCTAGGAAAACTGAAACTCTACATCCACCGAACAGTAGTTCACTCCCCCCTCTTCCCAGCCCCTGGCAACTACTGTTCTGCTTTCTCTGTCTGTGATTTTGACTCTACACAACTACTTTGTGTCAGTGGAATCATACTTTATTTGTTCTTTTGTAACCGGCTTGTTTCACTTAGCATAATATCCTCAAGGTCTATCCATGGCATAGAATTTCTTTCTTTTTAAAGGCTGAATAATATTCCATTGTATAGATATATACCACATTTTCTTTATCCATGCATTTTTCAGTGGACATTTTATTTGCTTCCACCTCTTGGCTATTGTGAATGATGCTGCAATGAACATGGTGTGTAAATATCTCCTTGAAATCCTATTTTCAATTCTTTGGGGACGATAACCAGAAGTGGAACTGCTAGATCACATGGTAATTCTATTTTTAATTTTTTGATGCACCTCCATATCATTTTCCATAGCAGCTGCACCATTTTATATTCCCACCAACAGGGCACAAGGGTTCCAATTTCTCCATATCCTTACCAACACTTGTTATTTACTGTTTTTTAAAAAATAATTAAAAATAAACCTTATTATGATTTTTTGAGGCAGGGAGGGGAGAGGCAGGGGGAGAAAGAGAACCCGCAGCGCAGAGCCCGACGTGGGGCTCGATCTCACAACCCTCAGATCATGACCTGAACCGAAGTCAAGAGTTGGACACTTAACGGACCGAGCCACCCAGGTGCCCCTTATTATGATTTTAATCAGACATCTCAATTTCTGTCCTCTATGTAGATAACATTGAATGAAAATTGCTTGCAGCAGTATTTATTGTTTTTTGACTGTGACCATCCTAATGATTGTGGGGTGATACCTCAGTGTGTTTCCTCACTTTTTATTTTTGTAAAAAGAAAAATAATAACCAAGTAAATAATTCCAAGTAATCCAATTAAACATTCTATCAAATTCTTTTCATACAATCATCGAACACTATTGTCTCTCTGGCAATAATTTGTTCTTTGCCCAATAATATAAAACATTGTTTGATGCAAGTCAGCAATGCAGAGACCCTCTGACACAGCATTCTACCCCAGGTATAGAGTCAACATATATAAGTAAGTATATTCCTTATCAGACATGTATGAGAGTATTCATAGCAGCTTTATTCATATTAGCCCCAAGCTGGAGACTACCAGAGTCCATCAACACTACAATGGATAAGTAAATTGTAGTGTATTTACATAATGGAATACAAAACAGCGGTAAAAAAAAAAAAAAAGAACTTCTGCTAAATGTGACAGCATGGACGAGTTTTACACACATAGTATTGAGTAAAGGAAATCAGATACAAAAGAATACATACTATATAATTTTATTTGTACAAAGTTCAAAAAAAGGCAAAACTATGGAGCTAGAGGTCAGAATATGATTTCCATTGGTGGAGTATTGATACTGGTAGGAAATGCAGTGTTATTGGGGACGCTGTAAACATGTTATATCTAGATCTGAGTGTATACATATATGAAAATTAATTAAGCTGTATAGTATATTTAAATCTGTACACTTGCCTTTATAGAAGCTGCAACTGTCCAAGAAATAAAAGATGAGTCTTAACAAAAGGACCCATTTGCATTGACAAGATACTCTCTTTTTGTTTTT